GAAATCAGGTTGACCGAAAAATCTCATAGTTAGGCTATGCGTGTTTCCATAGCGTTAATAATTTTTTTATTTTTTATTTTTTTTTATTGCCCTTATAGGCAGACGAGCATACGGCCCACCTGATAGTGAGTGGTTACCGCTGCCCATGGACTACAGCAATGCCAGGGGCAGAGCCAAGCCGTGCCTGCCAAAATAGCAACGTTGCGTTTTTTACCGCTAAGAGAAAAACTACCACCGGCCTTTTAATACGAACATTTAAAACTTTTAATAAGCATACGGCCCACCTGATGGTGAGTGGTTACCGTCGCCCATGGACTTCAGCAATGGCAGGGGCAGAGCCAAGCCGCTGCCTACATCCACTATTCCCCATAATTCCTTTCTAATACGTAATAATAGTAGTATAAAGTAAATTTTCGCTTAGTGCTTCTAAATCGCGGAAAGCGGTTTTGATACAGTTTTAATTATTAGTCAGTCTCTTCCGACACGATGAAATATTAGAATGCATGTAAATTATATTCATAGAATGCAGAGAAATGTTCATGTTTGGTTCTCGACAGTATATAAATTAAAAGGAATAATTAAAACCCACTTTTACGGTTTTTATCTCGCGTTATTCTTTAATAATTCGTCATTGCGTTATTTTTTTAATTCATCCTTACGAGATTTCGAATATTTTTTTCGGTTTTGCGACCACGAAAATTCTAGATTCTTGGACATAAAAACAAAAACAAAAGAAGATCAATTAACAATTAATTGAAAGAAGCTACATGAAAAATTAGACGCAAATTTGTTAATATATTTTATCTAAATAAAAAAATGTCGCTAGATTAGATTGTTTTTCAAAGAGATACAAAAATATTCTCCTTTTTTTAAAATGGTTCCTACATTCATTTTTATTTAGAGCGAAAGTAAATTCTGTTTTAATTCTGCTCAATAACAGCTTAGCAAGGTTGGGGCGTATCATTCTATAAAATATTACTATAATAGAAAAATAAATAAATAAACTTAAAAAAAAGCATTCTCGATAGGAAGCTTAAGAAATTAGATTTATTTTTAAATCGGTAGATTTGGATTACTAAGATCGTTAGATTACAGTAATTTTCATGTTAACAAAACTTCTTGAAACTGTTTATTTGAACTTGAATTTTTTTTTAACGTCTTTGCTAGTTCAGTCCAGATAATCTATACTAATATATAAATCTACAGTGATTTTTACGGATGTTCCGTTATAGCTACTGAACCATGCATCCGATTGACTTAAAACTTGGCATCCATGTAGGAAATACATGTATTTAATGGATAGGCTAATATTTATATGAGTGTTGGACTCCCTACACCAGTTGCGGGGGCGTTAATGATGAGAATCTTTGTGGGGGTGAGAAATAATAATGTTAATTTTAAATACCCAGCGAAGCGGATGGGTACCGCGAGCATTACTATAAAATCTGGGCTTAGAATACGTCTTTCGACCAATCAAAACACAATCCAGAATAGAACCAGTACCGTCATCAATTACTGGTGGTAGGACCTCTTGAGAGTCCGCGCGGGAAGGCACCACCACCCTGCCTATTTCTGCCGTGAAGCAGTAATGCGTTTCGATTTGAAGGATGGGGCAGCCGTTGTAACTATACTTGAGATCTTAAAACTTAAATTTCAAGGTGGGTGGCGCGTTTTACGTTGCAGATGTCTATGGGCTCCAGTAACTACTTAACACCAGGTGGGCTGTGAGCTCGTAAACCCATCTAAGCAATAAATGAAAATTGATAATTTTAAATGCCCAGCGAAGCGGGCGGGTATAGCTAGTCTATACTAATATTATAAAGAGGAAAGATTTGTTTGTTTGTTTGTTTCGAATAGGCTCCGAAACTACTGGACCGATTTGAAAAATTCTTTTTCCATTAGAAGCCGACATTGTCCCAGATGAACATAAGCTACTTTTTAAAAAAAAAAATTAATTTTATTTTTTTGGTTTCATGTGTGTTTTACTGTTTCCGAAGCGAAGCGAGGGCGGATCGCTATATTACTATAAAATCTGGGCTTAGTAAAAGTCTTTCGACCAATCGAAAAACAATCCAGAATAGAACCAGTACCATCATTAATTGCTGGGCTGCGCGCGCCGCACTTACGAGAAATAATTACTTGTTACATGTTAAGTGCTAGCGCCGATATCCGACTGGTAACTGTGCGACCGGTCCGTTGAGCTTCCTGTTCAAAAGCCCGCAATTCCTTCCCGAGCTTTGAGGTAGCTTTGCATGATTTGAACGGGACAGTCGATAAAAAGGTGAAAAGCTCGCTTCGGTTTAAGCGACATTTCACTTACCACGCGACATTTATCTTTGTAATTAAGCGTCCGTTTTATTGTGTACTAGCTGACCCGGACAGACTTCGTAGTGCCTCAATCGATAAATAAAAGACCTAAACTTTTGTCAGATAGCAGGAACCCAATACTAGAAATGTGTGGAATATTTTCGATAATTCTAGGGATGTCTTATCGGCTATAAAAGCGTGGCAGAGATGGCACGCAGTCATTTAGTAATCGGAACTACTCGAAGCGAAACAGCGAACGGATCACCTGAAGCGAAGCGGAAGAAGCGAATTGAGAGTTTTAAAGTCTCTGTGAAGTGTTTTAAGTGTTCTAACTGTTTAATACAGTTTTTTTAGTTGTACTTTGGTGGAATTTTATTTATTCCAAAGCCCAGCGCGTAACAATATCAATAAAACGCTTCCTGAATGACTTATGTTTATGAGAAATTAAGTTCACGTATATAATTTCGTGAATCAAAGTACAGTTTTCGGATCTCAATGATAGTCTCCTTTTCTTATATATAAAGTACATGAAGTAACACCTAACCGACATGCAATTCAGATTTATCTTGCACTAGAAATGCTGGCGGACTTAATTTCTTCCTGGATGAGCGATTCGACGCACCGTCCACGGTATAGGATGTAGCGTTTAAACGAATTAGAACGCAGCTTAATTCGATTTATCTATTCTCTAATCGCACACTATATGTTGAAGGATCTCAAATGAATACTATTAATAATAAAACTAATAATGAGATAATATGGAATGCCGATATTAAAACTCGACCACTCTAACCGACACTGTTCAATGTCTGAAAGTGGGTAGTAACACTTTCCTTATAATGTTCAGGGGTATGTAATGTGATTGGCTGCCTATTCCAATTTAACAAAATCAATAAAACTTTCAGACAACTTCTGTATTAATTTGACTGCACTGAGATTTATTTAATGTTCTTTATGAAGGCTAGAAAAAGTATTTACTAAGAGTTCCAAGCTGTTGATGGCTTGGGTGATATTCCAATGACATTTGGACGTGTCTTTTGGCTTTAGATTTTGATTTAATTGACAAAAAGGGGTTTTATGGTATTAAGATCATCAGACTAGCAAATTATAACTAAAAATTGTTAATTTATACGATGAGGCACTTAGTGCCAAATTTAACTTCAAGAAAATATTTTACACACGCAAATTAGACGGTAGTCGGCATAATATTCAAATATCGACACATAACAGCTCAGAGGTCCACCTCCTCTAAAATTGTAAAGCACTAAGCTACTGGGTTTCTTAATTTAAAATTATAATTTGCGTAATTACTGGTCATACGACCTATTGTGAGTCCGCACGGGTAGGTACCACCACTCTACCTATTTCTGCCGTGAAGCAGTAATGCGTTTCGGTTTGAAGGGTGGGGCAGCCGCTGTGGGTGACGACATTTACGTTGTAGATGTCTATGGTAACCATTTAACACCAGGTAGGCTCTGAGCTCGTCCACCTAAGCAATAAAAAAGCCTTCCCCATGGGAGACTGCCAATTTACTTCGATATAATTAAAATTAAGATCGCGTTTTTCTTGTGCTTTGGGCCGAGCCCGGATGGTCGTTGAAATTGATTGAGACGCTGTCTAATCCAACGTTAATTGAGTTTGCTTTTAACGGTTTTCATCCTTACGACTTATAAACTGCGGTACCAGAGGAACTGAATCTTCCTGGTAAGTCAACGGGATTTAGCGAAATAAGACTTTAAGCTGTGACGAATTAGCGCTAAATTCGATGGCGATTTTTTATGGTCAAGAGGTAGCAGTTCTGTCGAATGTTCCGTGGTCCGAGAGACGATATTAATAAGCCCTGAGTTTTTTCAACTAGTGAGTTTTTTCAACAAATTGATCGCGAAGTCATCACACAACGTTGCCCAATTTGAATGTTGATATATTAGGCCATAGTCAGCACACTTATGCGTACGTCTGTGATGGTCGGTGGGTATCACAGCAGTGATTGCTTCTACAGTGATTATGGGCTCCCGTTTTAAGGATATGAAGCCGTTGTCTTATAAAATTATTCTTCGAACTCACCTCTCAAGAAGGGCGGTGTTATTTTTTTTTTAATTACCTTAGTATGCAGACGAGTATATAGTCCACCTGATGGTGAGTGGTTACTGTCGCCCATGGACTTCAGCAAAGCCAGGGGCAGAGCCAGGCCGCTGCCTACCGCACTACTTACCTTTGATTTCAATGAGATAGATAAGTAATAGTTTTATCCAAGTACACCATTCCGAATAAAATTTTAGATTAATTTTTGAAGTTATACTTCTTTAGGCGCGTTATGAAAAATTGATGAGAGTGAAATTTTACGACGCGCGCGCACCGTGACACAAAATTAACAGAATGAAGTTGCCCACTAAATCGCTCATTACAATACGACCGACGTAACTTGGCGAGTCTTAATATAGCCGCAGGTGAACTTTCCGAACCGTACCGAGAATTACCGAATTTATACGATGTCAAGAAAAAGGATGTCCAATATGCGTATTTGAGGATGTTGTTTAATCGATTTTTTATCAAATTGATTAAAATTTAAATAAAAAAAAATGAAATAAATTTAATAAAAATAAAGTATGACTTCTTACGCGCGTACATAAGTACACGTACCCTTTTTTATTTGATGTTCAGGTCATATTGATATTGATACGAATTTTGCTTACCTTATATACCAATGCTGGTTAAAAACCGTAGTTTTAACGCTTCTGCGTTATAATATCTGAAACAAAGAAAAAGTTTTTTGTTATTTTTACGTATTACGTACATATTAACTGGAATTCACCACAGGAGAATGAAGAAGGTAATTTGAAAGATCACGAATATGAATTTTCCTAGGGTTTTTTTTTTCAGTCTAACAGATTAAACGCGAATGTTACTAAAGTTATTATCGAAGAATTTAAAACGCACACTGGTGGTAGGATGCTTTGTGGGTCCGCACGGGTAGGTACCACCAGCCTGCCTATTTCTGCCATCAAGCAGTAATGCGCTTCTGTTTGAAGGATAGAACAGCCGCTGTACTGTAAAAACTGGGATCTTAGAAGTCTTTTCTCAAGGTAGGTGGCGGCATTTACGTTGTATATTGCTACTCACTATGGTTCGGGATAATCAAAATTTCACCAAAGCAGAACTGATTCCGTGCCATCTCTGCAACGCTTTTATAGCCGATACCACACCCCTAGAATTATCAAGAATATTCCACACATCTCTGTGTTTTGTTTCAGCTATCTGACAATAGATGGCGTTGTACTTCTCAAGCGTTCTAGGTGCTACTAGATCCTTCGATATTCGTTCAACTATTCGGCGATAGATGGCGTTACTCTTACCGGCGTAACAATATTATTATGTATATTATTATGGACTTCGGTAACCACTTAACGCCAGGTAGGCTGTGAGCTTTGTCCACCTACCTAAGCAATAAAAAAAAAACGATACGATGTAAAAGTTCAAGCTGCCTTACAGGTTGGACATAAATAACAATGTTTTATATCAAGTTTTTAGCGTTAAAAATTATTTACAGCTTCCAAGTTTAACGGTTTGCTTAAGTTATTAAACGCTATTTATGTCCTAGTAAACTTGTCCCGTGGGATGGCACAGGGTACGGATAAAGGACCTTTACGGCCTTAGGCCTTAGTTAAGAAGCCTTAAATGTCCGTCTAAGCAGCGCTGTGATGCTATGCCTATATTATTTGATGAGATCGAGGATATAAAGTGGTGATAGCATATTCAACTATATACCAAATGTGATAAGAACTATTCTGCCGTAACGCTTCCAAATCTGACTGTTTTTATTAGAGCTGAGTTCGTTAACGTGGCTTGTGATCGTCAGCTGAAATCGTCACGCAACGAAGAAGCGTTGTGCCCGTTGACTTGATACGCAAATTTAATCGTTAAACACAAGCACGTTAAGACTAAACTTCGATGCGCTGCTGAGACGGTAGACAGCGGCTTGGCTCTGCCCCTGACATTGCTGAAGTCCTCAGCCCCTCTCCGTCATATACGTTTTTTTTGTAATCTCTACTCTTCCGTTCTTTTTGGAGGCATTTACGTTGTAGATGTCTATGAGCTCCAGTAATCACTTAACATCAGGTGGGCTGTGAGCTCGTCCACCCATCCTAAATAAATGCCACCCAATTCCTATATTCGCGACTAAAGATTTCTTAGATGTTCCCATTTTATTTTTTTGAAGTCGGCCTTATTTTTTGTTATTTTTTTTATATTTTTACGCATTTTAAACTAGATTTTTTTATTATTGGGTAGGTAACAAGGTAACTTTACACCGAGCAACGAAGCCTAAGTTTTTTATTTATTTGTTTGAAATATTTATTTATTTATTATTATTGCTTAGATGGGTGAACGAGCTCACAGTCCACCTGGTGTTAAGTAGTTACTGGAGCCCATAGACATCTACAGCACAAATGCGCCACCCACCTTGAGATATAAGTTCTAAGGTCTCAGTATAGTTACAACGGCTGCCCCACCCTTCAATATCTTATCTAATATATCTTAACCTTAGACTGCGTTATGCGTGCAATAACAACAATTAGCTAACCGAAAAAAAAATACTTAAATATACTAATTAATGCATTGCGGTCATAAATCTGCTCACGCAAATCTATACTTATAATATTATAAAGAGGAAAGATTTGTTTGTTTGTTTGTATTGAATAGGCTCTGAAACTACTGAATCGATTTGAAAAATTATGTCACTGTTTGGAAGCTACACTATTCCCGAGTGACATAGGATATAATCTTTTTTGAAAAAAATTAGAGATCCTTACTAAAGCTCCAATAATGTAACCCAAGGTGTAAAAAAATTACTTAAAATATTCTTTACATCGCGTGCCCTGCGAAAACTATTGAGGATATAATAAAAGAATGTACTACAACTTTGTAGAACACACTATTATTTACAAAAAGTGTCGCGACAGCATACGTTTAACTATTATATTTATACCGGAATAAGTGTTCTTTTATTTTAAAAAATAAAACAACGTCGTTGAAATATTTGTTACAGACTCGAGCGAAGCCGGAGCGGGCCGCTAGTATGGTATATACGCAAACTAGAATATAAAATAAAAAAAAACATTGTAAAGTATCAAAATTGTGTGGGTGGTAGTATAAAATAAATAAATTTATGAAGATTTATGTATTTTTTGTGACGACCATTTTGAGTGCCGTATCCTATCGGTTTGATTAATAACTTCCATTGTCTTTTTCTGTGCGTGGTGTGAGAGAGAAGTCACAGAATTCGGGACTCGAACGAGTGTCTCAAGAGGGGTCATTCGCGTTATGATGTCCACGGACAACGGTAATTATCACTTTAAGAATATTTGTGGGTGGTGCATTTACGTTATAGATGTCTATGGGCTCCAGTAACCACTTAACACCAGGTGGGCTGTGAGCTCGTCCACCCATCTAAGCAATAAAAAAAAAACATGTGTGCAACTCACACGTGGTAGAAGTGAAACCTTCCAAAATTAAAATACAATTATCCTAAACGTCTTAAGTATATGTAAAATTTTGTCATTAGTAAATAATTGTAAGGTAGCGCCCTCTGTGAATTGATATTTTAATTTCACGTATAATCCTAAATTAAAATTCACTACAAGAGCTTTCATACACACGTTAGTATTAANGCCCTCTGTGAATTGATATTTTAATTTCACGTATAATCCTAAATTAAAATTCACTACAAGAGCTTTCATACACACGTTAGTATTAAAAAATCTCACAGATGGCGCTGTATTAAATAGTATGTATATTTCTGTCTCATTCTTTGCTGGCTTCATCCTAAAAATTTTTGTATTTGTGTCTCTTACCTGTCGTTTTTTCCGTTGCATCCGGTTTGAAATCACAACGATTCTAAAGAAGTGTTCACTTTAAAAACAGGTAATATTATCTTATTCCAATAAAAAAAAGTGGCACAGCAACTTATCGTCATTTTCGCTTAGATTTTATCACTAATAGCGAATCGGTACTCACTCGCTTTCTAAGCTAGCGAAATGGCAACGAAACAAAACGTAAAAAGCTCCCCACAGTGCTTTAAGTAATCACCATAAAAGCTTTCATTACCAATAAAAATGAACTGACGTTTCTACGACATCTAGAATGTTCTGAATTTATATCTACGGCGAAGAATATACATATTTTTTGATAAATTTACAACAGTCCATACCTGTATCTTACTGGTTTGACATCTTCTAGTGATTTAGTAAATATTTTTTTTATTGCTTTGATGAGTGGACGAGCTCACAGCCCACTCGTTGTTAAGTGGTTACTGGAGCTCATAGACGTCTACAATGAGATATAAGTTCTAAGATCTCAGTATAGTTACAACGGCTGCCCCACCCTTCAAACCGATACGCATTACTGCTTCACGGCAGAAATAGGCAGGGTGGTGGTACCTACCCGCGCGGACTCACAAGAGGTCCTACCACCAGTTTTACATTACAATTAAAATAATCTTCGTTTTAAAGTAACCTTAAAGAGAATAAAAAGTAAAAATGTATTTGATGTCGTAATAATTGCCAAAAATTTTTTACTGCCTATTTAGGTAGACGGCATACGGCCCATCCGATGATGAGTCGTAACCGTCGCTCATGGACATCAGCAATGCCAGGAGCAGAGCCAAGCCTCTACCGTTAAGTACTCTCCACAAGCCTCGTTCGAAAAAGAACATTAGTAGTCTTTCTTGACACTATTAATAACACTAGTGGTCCCGCAGTAGTCGAAATTCGACTATAATTAATTGAAATTTTATGTTTAAATATTATTTTGGTTCTATTGTCATATTATACTTCTTTATTATAATCACAGATTTCCCCAAAACTACACTATAGTTATATAATCTGAAAAACAAACAATATTGATCTATTCTCAATTTGACAATAACAAAAGTTTGACAATGGACAATAAACGAATTTGTTTATGGAATCAATGTATCTTTTACGCATTATTTAAAAAAATATTAGCATTGTGCACTTCTTCTCTATATTCTCTATAAGTGTGGAAAATTTCATACTCCTCCGTCCGCGCAATTTTCGTAAAAAGGGATACAAAGTTTTTGCTTCACGTATTAATATATAAATAGGCGACGTCTGTGTCTAATGTGTGCTATTGTGTCGATTAACCCGATTTCTGTACAACATCACAGGAATTACGTAAACAGACTCTCTTGACCAGGCCTTTGAACCGACTTACAGGCTGTGGTACAAGTCACCAGAGGTTTCTTTAATTCATTGTAAAATCTCAAAATTTTATTGTACGCACGAGCCAAGCATTATTCAAAGCAAAACCTAATAAATAGAGAAGATAATATATTCACAAAACAAATTCACTACAAACAGGTTTCTTTGTTGTTTTCCATAATATATAATAGATTGGTAAATCTCAACAGAGCTTGTCGATATAGCGTTAATGCCGTCACGCATCTCGGGACATGATGGAAATCGTATTGTAAAAAGACTCTTATTCCGAAATTACGAAAAGCTGTATTTGTCGAATACCGTGGAGTACCATGAGAACTAACAAGTCCATTCTAAGGGAGCTAAATATACGAAAAAGTAGGAGTGGGTAATATCGGTTTTGCCGCGTATCGAATCGTATCTATATATCGAGGATCAATATCGGATATTGAATCTATATATTTTCTGAATCTATATATTGATGGATGCTAGTAGATTTTCTCGATTCATGATATTTGAGATTTGAAACGACACG